TGTTCAAATCTCAGCAACTCATCGAGATGCCAAGCAAGGGAGTCACACTCTTTGCACCATGCATCGCAACTTTTGCTGCCCGTTGTCCGTCTTTGTCGCAAAGCTGTTGCGAGTCCTCACTCTCTGATCAGCACAATGGTACAGCATTAATTTGCCTGTACAAGGCTGATTCCAGAAACCAAATCCAAAACATGTTTTTGCTGGTTTAGAGATCTTAGCTTGTTCAGGAGTGGTGCCCCAACGAGGCGCTTTGCAGCGCAATCCCTCACATCCAGTTGGAGAGCAGAACTCAAGGGAGGATCCGGCATGCTTGGCCGGACCTGGGGAATAGTCATACGCTGGCCAGGCTGCCCATCAGAATTTGAAAGGGGCAAATCGCAAAGGATCTGGTGTGTCACGACAGGACAAGGATTTCTCAGATGCTTCGCATGAGCATCTTCGCCTTCCCACAGTTTGAGCTGAACAACTTCATGAAGTGCACAGATTTGCCAATGGCATTTCTCTGATGTCCCACTGAAATCAAACAAAGCATTCCAGTAGTTGACTTCGACAGGAAAGGCAGCAGCTTCGAAATGCTCTTTGCAGTTGGCATAGGAAGCACACCAGGGTGCTACAAGAATATCCTCACAATCCAGCATAGTGGGTGGAGTTTTGGCGTAGATGTAGAGCGTGCAAGATTTGCACTCCTTCAATCTGATCTGTTGTGCAGCGGCCCAGAATGTACAACCCTCACAATTGCGAAAACACGCAGGCCCATCGCAGGGCCCCAGGAGGATTAGGGAATCCTTGCAGGAATCTACAAACACTTGACCACTTATGTCACAAATATACACTTCACATTTAGACAACTCCTCCAAGTTGACCTGCTGCCGATTTAGAGATCCTGGCTTTCTCAGAATAATATCTCCACTCCAGCGAGAGATGAAGAAAGGGTTCAAGTCAGGATAGCCTTGTTTGAAGCTCCGGAAGTTCATGCTTTGATTGAAACTGTAAAGTGTAAAATATCTTACTGCCTCTGCATGTCCATAGCCCAAGTAGGTACAAATGTAGTCACTCAGGTCCTCCATTGAAATCTCCTTCAAGTCTCCAGAGATCTCCTTGAAGACTGTCCAAACGTCTTTGTCCGGGGACGTTCTAAACGCCCTTGCAACCAAAGATCGTCCCTGCAATTCCTGCCCGTTCCTGGCACGACGCTGGAATCGTGGACAAGAACTGGCTGGTGATTCCAGTGTCGCGGTTTCATGTCCAAGTCCAACTGGATCAACCGAACCAAGGAAGCGGTGGCACCAGTCACACCAGGCTCGGGGCAAACAGTCAAAACATCCAAACTTCAGATCTATGCTGAAGCAGAAGCGCATCCCTTAGCAACTGCGATTGCCTGGGGAATCTTTGCAATGATGCATGCAGTGTGTGGCACAATTGAGTGTAATTCCTGCCATGTACTAACGTTGCCGAGTTTAAAGATGCTTGATGTTGGTGCCATATTGCTGTGGGACATGTCCACATGAGAACCAAATGATGCTTGAGCCAATCTAACGATGCTTAAGTCTTTGAGTCTCAACACCTTGTCAGGTTGGAGGCCATCGCTATTAGGATGAAGGCCATCGCTATTAGGATGGAGGCCATTGCTATGAGGATGATGTTAGGATGGAGGCCATTGCTATTACGAGGGAGGCCATCGCTGTTAGGACGAAGGCCATCGCTATTAAGATGGAGGCCATCGCTATTAGGAAGGAGGCCATCGCTATTAGGACGAAGGCCATTGCTACAAGGATGAAGGCCATCGCTATTAGGTCTGATGGCGGCCATCGCTATTAGGTCTGATGGAGGCCATCGCTATTAGGATGGAGGCCATTGCTATTAGGAAGAAGGCCATCGCTATTAGGTCTGATGGAGGCCATCGCTATGAGGTCTGATGGAGGCCATCGCTATTAGGTCTGATGGAGGCCATCGCTATTAGGTCTGATGGAGGCCATCACTATTAGGTCTGATGGAGGCCATCGCTCTTAGGATGAAGGCCATCGCTGTTTGGATGGAGGCCATTGCTATTAAGATGGAGGCCATCGCTGTTATTTGAGTCTATTGAGCAATTCGTGGCGGCCACCTCGTCGGCAATCGCCTCCAGAACTCTCTCGGGTGCCTGGAGTCACCGGAGGCACTGACTATGCACAAGCGAGAATTCATTTTTGCCTGCGGTGCCGGCCCTGCCCGCCTACTTAATTAACTAGGCACCTACTTGATGAAGAAGGTACAGTAAGCTGCTGCAACGGTGGAAGAGCCCAAAGGAGGTGGGGCAGGTGGCAGGAGGCGGTTTTTTCGGGGCCCCAAGGCTGAAAGAGATTCTAGGCGAGCTTCTAGGTAGGACGCATGATAGCTCACGCTTCTATTCATTTGGTTCCTAGGTTTGATGCTTGCTACACTGCTACACACTTCCGAAAACGGATGGATCCCTACACGAACACCATGCGCCTCCAGAGAGTCGTCAATGCCGAACACCACTTGCGGCGGTGTCGTCAACGGTGCCTCTTCGTCTTCCTGGAACACAGCTCCAGTTACTAGAAGCGATGCACTTGTTCCTAGTAGCTTCTTTCTTGTCGTCTGGTGAGCTTAGCCAGGCTGAAGGCTCCACACCTCCTGACAGCCTGCAAGAAACCGATTGCGCAAGAGCTCTTCTGCCTCAGAAATGCAGACGGACAGAAGCCAAAACAGGTGAAGTGCTGAGGACGGCGCAGTCGAACGCTCAGCTGGGCCAAATTTCAAGCAGCTGCCTAGGAACATCAAAGAGTTCAAACCTCTTGTCTTGTGGTTGATGAAAACAAAGCAATTCATTGTAGTTTGGGCTGCCCGCGAACAAATTCAAGGCATTGCGAATCTGTGACCTTAGTTATTACAGCCCAGTTGGACAGCGTGGATTCCAAATGCCTGAGAGCCTTACACCATTCAGCTTCTTGTCCAATGTTGGCCCCAGCGGTACGGTTCGCACCACACCTCACAAGGATGAAAACTTCAATCTTCTGGGAGTCCATAACAGAACCTACAGTGCCTACAGATCGAAACAAACTGTCTCTCTTGCAACTAAAGCAGATTAAGGTCTTGTTGGCTTACCTCAACCAGAAAACCCCGGGTCACGCAACTCCGCGGCACAACTCCGCGGAGCCGGCGAGAGACTCAACATGCTGCGGCACCTGCGATGTGATTTCTTTCTGAAACACCCAGCGATTCAGCCTGGCACACAACGAAAACAAAATATCATGATTCTCTTTAAAAAGGTATGTGCCAGGATTGGTGTCTCAGTTCTTTTTCCGAGCGTTCGCCTCAAAGCGGCTTGGATGTCGTCCAAGACAAAGTCCAACAATAAGACCCAACTGCTCCTGAACGTCTACAGGTTGAAACAAACACAAACCAGGATTCTATGAAGTCAGAAGAGTGGTGTCCAAGCAGGGACTGGAAGCAAATCGGATAATCATACAATAATCATGCCAATACTATATATCCTCTCCGTCGATCCCCGAAATCAAAGGCCTGCCAAGCACCTGACTGACAGCTGAAGTTCTGTGCTCTCTGCCAACTCAAAGCCATGTGAACGGCATTTTGTGGTTTCAGCCAGAGGGGGAATGCAGTTGAGCCCGCTGTTCAAATCAAACGACCGTCATATTTTGTGCATCGGGTAAGTTCTTAACTTTGCAAGAATGGCCCTATGGGCAGGGCATCTAAGCTTGAGACCATCTCGGCCACAACGCATCCATACGACCAAACCTTAGAACTGAGAAACACAATCCAAGCAGCTTGGAAAACTCCTCCGGGAAAATCAACGTTCGGAGAAACCTCACAGAATTCATTGTCAAGCAGCATCGATGCTCTGGTTGTAGAAGGTCCCAACAAACAGCTCAGGAGCGCGGTACCAGCGCATGCCTACATACTCCGTGAAAGCCCGTGGTGGGTCATCCCTGAGGCAGCTCCGTCGAACGAAACCAAAGTCACAGAGTTTTGCTCGTCCATCCTTGTCCAAGAGAATGTTGCTTGGTTTGACGTCGCGATGAATCAAGCCAGTGGCATGTAAGAAACTTAATGCACGGGCAATGTTGCAGGATACTCTTCGAGGTTCTTCAACTAGATTGTATCTGATTGCGTGCTCAAGATCATGCAGTGCCAATTCAAAGGCCAAGTACAAATGGCATCCTGTCTTTGGTAGGACAGCGTCCTGCAAAGACACAATGTTCTTGTGGCGCACTTGCCGAAGCACTGCAATTTCTCTGTACATTCGTTTCAGCGCTGTAGGATCATCAGGAATCAAACAGTCAAAGCAACACTTCAAAGCCATGGTACACTTTGAGCTTTTGCTCTGAACCAGAATGACTTCTCCGTATGCACCGGCTCCCAGTAGATGAACTCCTTGCTGACTGCCCTCATCTTCCACAGTGTATCTCTCAGTAATCTCCTCTGGAAAATCTGAGGGATTCATGAAAATGCCTGCAGGGCACAGGGCGTCGGCACCAGTCGGCACCATTCAGGCGTCAGCGGAACAAATCTCTCGCGGACTTTCGAGGACCAAAAGGACCGCGTCAAGGAGTCTTTGGGCTGAGACTAGCTAGAAGCTACTAGTAGCAAGAAGCTACAAGGTGGAGGCCATCGCTATTAGGTTGACGGCCATTACTACTAGCAGCTAGGGCTTCTAGTTACTAGAAAGCTCTATTGTTACTACAGGTGAAACGATTCCCAGTGAAACGATTCCCAAGGAAGCTTCTAGTTATATGGTCAAAGGAGTCCACTGGTTACTCCCAGACCTTGAGCTCGTTCCTTTATGAGCATAGCTGCTGGAGCGGCATCCTAGTTCTCAAGATTGACTTTACAATTACAGTATTGGTATTAGGCCCCCAATTGCATTAAACTTAAACATGATCTCAGCATGTGGGTCCTTTTTGATCTGCCCTTTCTGCGTCGGCCCAAGCGTGTTGCCATTGACCCTGTTTCTGGGGCCACATTGGGCACCAACTAGGCTGTCACTGCTGCGCAGAGGAGCTCGCCTGAAGTGACAGCGACACTGGGAAAGCTGTTGATCTGGAAACCTGTCGTTTGAAGCAATGAGATGCTGGGTGTGTGGCGGGCTGGAGCCGCTGTCGAGCTCCTTCAATTCGCTTGTCCTCCATGGCCTCGACTCAGTATTGGTGGGCGTGCAAAACACAAAACAGTGAAAACTCGCCAACAAGACCTTGCTCAGTCAACTCTTTGTACACCTTGGACATCAGCTCATTCCGGCTCATTCCGATATCCCGCCTTAAAGAAGTCTTCACCAACTGGCCCCGACAAGTTCAAGAGCGTTGGATCCTACCAAGCGAAGCAGGAGAGAAAAGCAGCACATGTTGGCATGTCCGTCCATAAAGCGTTTGGGCTTCTGGGTCTCTATGTAGCAGCGTGTTGGCTTCGGCCGGAATAGAAGTGCCAGGCTAACACTGAACGATGTTTGGAAGTCCACTCTACCACGCTGCGCAACACTGCCAAGTCCCGGTTTGATCTTGAGCTCCCCAGCGAACTCTGTTCCAGCGAAGGGTGAGCCAGGTGCATTCCAGGCATCCTCAGGCAAATTGTCATTTCCGAACAAAAGCATGGACAAAGATAGAAGGTACCCAATAATGCTCACGCAGCTGTGCCAAGTGCACCTTCATCATCTCGGCAGTCCGAATTTGATCAGAACTGGGCTTTCCCTGGCACAGAATGGCAAGCAAGGAGCAGTGTGTATTGTTTAAATATATATATATACATATTTATACCCTTATACATATATATACATGCATACATGCATACATACATAAGTGCTCTTGGGCCTGCAGCTTCTGATTCTGATCAAACATGATCTTCCTTGCAGAAATTCAACCATTGAGGGATGGGTGAATGGACAGCAGCTCAACAGGTGCAAGAACACCCAGCAAATACATCCGGATCGTCCTGATGGCGCCCTGCGTTTCGCCATCGTATTCTTCCATCTTCCTCGTGGACTCAACCTTGGCTTCTCGCAGCACTATACTGTACTTATGTTCGAAGTTTTTTTTGGCATGTACTTTTGTTTCCAATAAGCTGTACTTTTTGGCATGTACTTTTTGGCATGTACCTTTTGGCCTGTACTTTAGTGCTTTGAAACTTGGCCCAGGGCTTTCGTTGTGTCAATTTCCTTCAGGTGTCAAGGTCAAAGGATCCTAGTCTAAACTGCGAAACCCAAATCCAACAGGAGAAACTGCAAAACCCAAGTGATGGATGATGCACGAAGTTGAGCGCTCCGGATCACCCTCAAGGACACATTTCCACCAGTTCTCTCTTGACTTCTGCAAGGAGATGATCACCTCAGCATCGAAGGTCCATGTCTTGGGATGTTTCTTGCAACTCAGTTGAAGCTATTTGCTCCTAGTAGTAATGCCCTTGTTCCTAGTAGCGTCCTTGTTCCTAGTAGTAATGCCAGGAGTTACTAATAGCTTCTTGCTCCTAGTAGCGATGCCCTTTGCTAGTAGCGTCCTTGATAAGCTGAGTCCCAAGACTTGGTGCCCATCTTCCAAATGCCAGATGGACTCCTGCTTGGACAAATGCCAAGTCCACAGGTCCATTCAGCTGAGTCTACACAGCCAACAGCTCCTCGGGCAAAACTTTCTCATGCAGCTTCCCCATCAATTGCGTCTCTTCACCTCGCTTTACGGTCAGCCTGCAGGTCTTCAGACAGCCCGAGCGATACGCAGCAGCCGCCCGCCCCGCCTGGTAGCTGTGATCTCCACCTTCACCTGGGAGGCCTGCAAAAGCTAGCAGCTAGAGAACCCTCGGGAATGGCATGGTTGTTCGTCCAGCGGTCCCGAAGCTGTGTATGTGTCGTTGTCTTGGCACTCCTTGCCTTGCAATCACCAACCTCAACCTCCATGGTCACTTCTTGCAAGGACTGTGACCAGTAGTACTTGTCCGTGATCGCCTTGGCGCAAGGCTCTCGCTCCATCACCACACATTCCGCAACACGAGTACAATGGTTATGATAACCTCGTGGACTAGGACTAGGAGACTTCTGGCTTGCAACTGGTCGTCCTCTGCGTTTCTGCAAGGAGCCGACGCCATTCCAAGTGCTGATGTGCCTCAAATGCATCTATTGTTCAGTAGGTCAGTAGGAGGCAAAGTGAGCAAGACTTTTGTGTTAAGTCTCCACATGTTTGCCAAGGCACTTCATCTTCCTGCCACAAGGGAAGCTCCAAACTATGACATACTACGACAAATGCAAACACATGTGGAATCAATCAAAAAAACTTCGTTAGATTCCTCCTCATCTCTTCTGTCTCTTCTGCTCCGTCGCTCAGCTCTGGCGATGCAGATGCTGCAGATGCTGCAGTTGCAGATGTGGTGTGTCCTGGGACGGCCGTCTCTGCCGTGGTCCCCGGGGCAGCAGCGGCAGCAGCACCTGTCATGACTTATGACTCATCACACTTGCTGCCTTGGTCCCTGTCAACAGGAAAGAACATAGAGGCAATCTGAGTATTGAGCCACTTGCCACAGGCTCTTCGTCCGGCTCATGCAGCAGGTGTGGTCTCAGCCAACAGCTTCCAGATCTTTCCTCTCTCACTTGATCACTTGAGTAGGGACATGTCTATAATATGTATATAGATCTTTAGATAGCTCAAATGCTTGGACGACTCTTGTACAGTAGGTTCTAGAAATAGAAGGGTCACGCACCAGCATGCGAAGGACAATATGTTTGACCGTTCGTCTCGCGATGGGTGACCCCGACTGATGCTTCGCCAAATATCTCTGCTGACCTCACAAAGGCTGTCCAAAAGTCATGTTCCTCACAGGAAGCGGATGCTTTCTCGTTTCAATCGGAAGCGATCTGTTGGATGGCCGTCTCAGACCGCTCGGCATGGTGTTTTTGGAGCGAAGCAGTTTGGTCAGCTTGGCTGACACAATCTCGTCTGCTTGGCAAAACTTAAATCTGGTGCAGGTGTCGATCGCAAGATCGTCCCCGCAAGTCATGTTGGGTAGGAATATGGAATACCCAAACATGTTTTCTACATCTATATATGCTTTCTGGTCCAGAGGAGTTACCACGAGCATTGTCGCGGATATTGGCTCTCCAAGGACGAACCTGGGGCCTTTCCCTAGGCCGAATTGAAAGAAATTACAGCTGTGAGGGAGTCAAGTACGTCTCCTCTTGAAAAAGCTGTCTCTTCAAGTCTCTTCTATATATTCAAAGTAAGAGCCAAAGCTTCTCAGACTGTTTCACAAAATTTCAGCCTGCGGAGCTACCCCACCACAGTCCTCGGTTGCAAACAGTCGCCAAGCCGCTGACTCGGTTCTAAAGCGTTCAAGGAGAGTCAGCAAACATTGGCAGCCACGGCTCATTTTGTGGTTCCAGTGCCAGATTTCAGTGCCTTGGGCAGCGTCACTGGTTCGCAAGTTGGGTGGCACGATACCGTGGTACTCTACAACTTCACTTGAGCAATAGACACGCAGTCAGGACTGTAGGACATGCTTGCTTTTTGGTCGATGTTGTTCCGAGTGTCGTCTGTAGGAACCACCAAGGACAAGTCGTCAAAGGGCACCACAGACTTGGCACTATGTCGTGACAGTCGAGATCGGCGAGCCAAGTCAGCACAATTCCTCGAAGTGAAAGGAAACCCAACCAAGAATCCGAAACACGCGTGCCTCAAATTCGAAACAACAGTTTCTTAGACATGAAAACTAAATGTGCCAATGTCCGTGCCAAACTAAGCCAACCCGCCTTCTGACTGCTGTCGCCCTCTTCCGCAAACAGCGGCCCACCCGCTGAAGCAAGGTGCTCACACCGGTGATCGGTGGCTGACGCACATCCATGAGCTCACTTACGGCATCAGAGAAGAAAGAATGTTCGGGATTTCGAAGCACCTGAAACTGCAGACTGATGCAGACTGCAGGAAGGTGGGCTGGACAAATCTTCTCAACCGTTTCCAGCCTGGCAAGCTTCTATGGCCGTTGGTCGCAACATTGGGTCCTTGTACCTTGGATGCCGTTCAGGGGCCAAATCCTTGCTCCTTCGTCATATTGCAATATAAGCCCAGGACATCAACATCCGAATAAAATCCTTTGTTTTGGCCTTAGGGATGCAGCCAAAAAGAAGATTCCAAGTCTTGGACATTAAAAATTGGTGCAAACAAATGTAATTAGTGCTGCATACTGCACTCAGTGTGGTGCAGTAGTTTCTTTAAACTCCTGTCTTCCCAGATCCTTGGCGATCAGATGGCAAGGGGCGATCCGGTGACATACCCTTGAGCCCTTCTCTGTGCCGCTGGAGTTGCTGGAGTCCGGTTCAGGATGCTGTACATGACGTCTTCTCCTGGGTCAAAGGTCTGAAGGCCACAGGCTTGAAGGCCACAAAATTAACTGAAACACTAGAGAAAAACCAAGTGGCTGCTTTTTCCTTTGAATGGCATGAGGTCGCTCAGGGCAAAATACAAGCAACCTCTGGCGGCCAGTCTGGAAGATTTGCTCAGTCTAGCGTCATAGACTGCAGGAAGAGCTGGTCTGAGTCATGAACCACCCAAAGCAAAAATGTCAGCAGGAGGACCTGTCAAGAGAGATTGAATCAATCTGATCAGCGGAGGAGGGGATCCAGCATGAAGACTGAATGAAATCCCTACAAGTAGCTCGTTCATTGGAGAATGCCAAGCCACCGTAGCCAAACGCATCTTCCACCTGAGGCAGCCATTAAACAAAAGGACAACACAAAGGAACTGGCTGGGCATCGTTTGCTGACATTACTTGCCTGCTCTGGAGCAGAGTATTGTGGAGGCACAGGGCCAAAACCCATTGGCCTCGAACTTTGTTTTGGCAGCAGACTTGGAGGCTTTGACTGGTTGCTAGAAACAAGTACAATGAGAAAGTTAAGTTGAAAGGACACTTAATGGACTATATAAAATATACAAACACCTGACAAGGGACGGGACGAAAACCAGCCTCTGAGCCTCTGTAATAATACATAATCGTTGTTATAGGATGAAGTCACACAAGGCCTTGATCAATCCACATTCACCGTTAGTGGTTATAGGATAGAATGTGCCTGTATTCTGTTTCCCTCTCCCCGAATGTGCCCACCAGAACGGTAAGCCTGCTTGGATATTCCTCGTGGTCAGATTTGGAAAATATGACCACGCAAGTTCAAAAAGTATTGCAAAGTCAAGTTTGCAACATGAGATGCTACATGTCTGGGAACTGTTTTGCACATGCCTGACTACTCTCTGCTTCAGCTACAACTGTGGCTGAGGATTAGGTAAAAACAACAAGAGCGATGTAGAAATCAAAAGCGGACCAGGGTGGACTCGAACCACCGAACAACGCCTGGATCAACTCCCTTCGGCTGTTACTAGTCATAGGATAGACTTGGGCCCGAACAAAAGTCCGACCCCCCTTGGACATCTATAGCTCTGGGGGTGCCCTTGTTCTTCCCGTCAACAGCCCTTTTCACAATAAAATAGGCACCCCCCAAGCAACTCAGAAGTTCCTGCCTGCATTCTATTTCCTCTTTTGTCGTCCTCTCCGTGAGAATTTGGAGATTCTTGCTTGGTCAGCTCCCTCAGTGTATAGCAATCTTGTTTGTTGCATTTCCTGTCACGCAGTCTCCCCTTTCCTGTCCTCCACCAAAACTCCCATCCCTGGTCAATAGACAATCCAAATAGTCTCCTGAAGACTTTGTGATGCTACTGATGCACTTTTCAGCATCATTTGCATCACTCGCATCACCAGGCCCTGATAAACCTATATGTTTACTACCTTTGTGACCCTCACTTTGTTTCGCTCTCCTATCCAACCGGGCCAGATTTATACCCCCCACACCCCCTACTCACTTTGTTCGCCCATCGAAGACTCAGCCATGCCTATCGTTATCGGCTGGTTTTCAGAATTTGTATATATATATATACATTGTATATAGAGAGAGAGAGAGATGTAAACTTTGAAGTTTTGACTGATCATTCCACTTCTCAGCTCTTTCATTTGATGTGCTGAGGTTCAAACAGATTCCCATCCAGCAAATGGACTGCATAACCAAAGTCTGCCTCTTTAGAGTCGCAGCAACGCTTGAAAAAGCAGCTAGCAGGGCCAGCAGGGCTAGCAGGGCTAGCAGCCAGAAGCAATGAGCTCTTTGCAAACAAGCTTCAAGCACTGACTCGCCGTCAGTCTTAATAAAAATGCTTTCCGGGTTCACCTAAGTACACAAAATGAAGCCAGTGTGGTTCGCAAACTGCAAACTCCGGAAACAGCAGCATCCCAACTGCAATGAACAATGACAAGCATGTCTGAATGAACAGTGACAATTCCTTCTTTCGGCTCCGTTGCGTTCGAATGAACAATGCCAAGTGAGTGGATGTGGCGCAGCGCTTCGCCAATTCCCTGAGGACGGGTTTCTGACGCGATCAGTTTTGACAACGTGTCAACAAATTCTGCACGTTGTTCAAAAATTGTGTTGTTCAACATTCACATTTCGAACATTTGTGCAAGAAAACAAAGCTGTCGGACATATGAGATTTGAGGCAACACACCGTCAACTCGATTTGAGTTTCATACCTTCAAGGCATGGAGTGCACAAGCTTCTGAAAGCCCGTGTTCGTTGCGCGTCCATGAATGCAACGAAACTCCCTGAAGGTGCAAAAGGCATATCCACGTGCAAGTTTCGCCCAAGGTTAATCACCAGAATCACACACAGCGATCTACAGCTTTGCTGATAAATTTGAAGTTGGTCAAAGGATCTCAAAGGTTATTACCAGTACTGTTCAGTGAGACTATCAGAAGCTGTTGACCCACGTCGCATTTCAGCCTCTATGCTGCTGAATACCAGCGCAATTTCCTGACCAGCGCAATTTCCAGGCGAGGCACACGAGTTATGCACAAGTGGTCATAAGAGACCGCAACAAGCTGCTCCATCTTCCAAGCCAGGGTGTATGAGTGCTTAGAGGTAGGCTCCCTTGACACTGAACGCTT